AATTTTACCCTTGGTTGTACATTTCCTTTTTCATCTTTGAATTCTTGTAATTCTTTCTTTATACTTTTCTTTATTTTTATTAGCTCGTCTATTTGAGCTCCATAGCATTTGTTTGATGCCGAATTTTCAAGTAATACCATTACTTGTGTGTCCTGTGTTTGTTTAAGTATTTCCTCGAGGTTTAGTTTGATTTGTTGTTTATCACGTGATTCGTTTCCTGTATTATTACTGGTGCCTACATGTAATACATATACTTTGCTTCCTATCTGTTTTGCGCGCTTTATTTCTTGTATTATTCTGGTGACTTTCCAGTTAATATTTCCATTGTACTGTCGGAAATTGTCATTTATTGACAATCCCATCGAAGCATGTATTACTATTTTTAATTGCGGTACGTCATTATTATATCCTTCAAGTGCTTTGATTAGTTTGTAATCATTTGTTAAGTTTGGTTTGCCTTCTTTTAGTGTTATCCAGTTTTTCATCATCTCATCAGAGTATGATTGTTCAGTAGGTGTGTAGGTCATGAATGTCTGTATAATATTACTTCCAGTCTTTATTACAGCGTTTATTATATGTTCCGCTGTTCCATCAGTTGTAACTCCAATATATTTCATTCGTTTTTGGTTTAATATACATTGCCGAAGGAATATATTATATAGGTTATTATCAGGTGCAGGTTGTGTTGTTAGTGCTTGTATAGGGCTGTAATCGTGATTTATGCCTTCTCTCTTTTCAGGAGTGTGGTAATGTTGTTTTTGTTTCTTAATTTTTGCAAATAATTCTATAGATTGCTTGGTTACTTGATCGAGCTCATCTTTATTATTGGGAGAATAATTTGTTCGGAAGGACTGTGCCTTCTCTTTTTGAAGTAATCGGTCTTCATGATAGTTAAGATCTTGTGAGTTCGGCAGGTATTTACTATGGTTGGGCGCCTTCTCTCTTTTTCTCGCTACTGCGTTATGCTCGGCGGGTGAATAACGTTTCGCAAGCAGGTCAGGGACTAGTGTACCGGGTCTCGTGCTCAAGTCTGAAATGATCTCGCTAGAGTGAACCGCAGTAGATACACTATAACCTGGCAATTTTTGTTTAGAGGTTAGCTTCCTCTGGTTTGTTATAGGTTGATTGTGTATGAGTATGAGCTCTTGGTCATTGTCTTTTAATATTCCAAGTTGTTTTTGGAGTTTATTAGAGAATATTATATAGTCGAAGTCTTTGCTGAGTATGTCTATTTTTATATTTTCGAATAGATGGTTATTTATTTTTATATCAACGGTTGCTTTTCCTAATAGTTTTACTTGTGATCCTACTGTGTTAGCTATAGCAGGTTTATATTTGTATTTTAGTTTAGTTTTTGTTTTTAGTTCCTTAAAGTGTCGTATTCCCATTGTGGTGTTAGTAGATCCTTCATCTAGTTTTATTTCATATGGTAATCCATTTATTTGTACAAAGAAGTAGAATGCTTTAGGTCCTTTTGCTTGTAGTGGTGTTTTATTAGTTTCTTTTGTCCAGATTAGTTCATTAGTGGCAGAGTAGTTATTTACTTTATTTATATGGTCTTTGTTTATTTTATTAATGTACTCTTGGTTAAATATTTCTTTATTATTACATGATTTGTTAAATAAACTATGTTTATAATTATTATAGTCATTATGAATATTATAATACTCTGAGATACAGCCATTAGTATTTTTTAGGAGTTGGTCCTGAGTATCTCGCAGGCTCCTCTTTAGAAATATTGGTCTTCTTCATGATCTTCAATAGTGAGATCTTTAGTTTGTTGTTCTAATGAATTCATTTCTTTTCTGAATTTTTGGTATTCTTTATATTCTTTATATCTGGCTTTTTCTGTATGGTCCATTTCCATAGGTTTCACAGGGCAGTTTTGTGCTGTGTGATATGTGCTTCCACATTGTGTGCATTCTAATTTAGAGAGTTTATCTCTTCGTTCTTTGAACTTGTCAAATTTGTTAGTTGAATATGGTGCAAATTTGCGCTTGTTGTCAAATTTCTTGAATGTATTTTTATGTGCTGATGGGTTATACTTTGGTCTGAAGTTTTTATGAGTTTCAATATGTGATTTTGGTAACGGTAGGTTTGTTATAGATCTTTTAACTTGTCTGTCAATGAATCGGTTATATGCTGGGTTTTGATATTTTGGCTGGTCAGTATGATATCCAGTTTTTTCGGGATTCTTTACCCATCTCCTAGAATCGTATCTGTTCCTTGGGAATTTTCCTTGATCTTCTTTGTTGTATTCTCGTTTACTAAACTTTTTCTTGTAAGGTGGTTTATTTCCTTTTCCTTTGTTTTTATTGTAATTGTTGTTTTGATATCCTTTCCCTTTTCCTTTGTAATTGTTATTTTTTACAAAGTTCCTTTTGTCGTGTTTTCTGTTAAAAGGGTGGAAAGCTGATTTGTTCTTGCAATCTCGTTGAAAGTGTCCTTTCTTTCTGCATTTGTAGCATTTGAGGTTGTTTGTTTTTACAACAACATAATCTTGTTTCGCTGAAAAGTGCATTTCTTTATGCCTCTGATTATTTTTCCAATAAGGTTGTTTTTCATTATAAAAGTTTTCTTTCTTTTTTCCTTCAAATTGTTTTGCAAAGTCTCATCCTACTATGCCTTGTTTATAGGCTTTATATATTTGTTCTACTTTTGTCCAAAAATCTTGGTACGAGGTTGGTTTTCCCATTAGTTGGAGTTGGTAAGCATAGTCTTCATTAGGATGTCTTCCTTTAGGGAGCCTATCATAAGTTGATAATGCTCCTCCTTGGTTTCATGCTTGGAGCATGTTTGCTTCTTTTTGTAGTCTGTAAAATTCTTGGTTTATTTTGTGAAATTCTCCTGTTTTGATATAATAGAATTGGAATTTGAAGTTTTTAAATAATTTTTGAGCTGCTTCTTGGTGTTCAAAGGTTACATATGTATGGTGCATCTATAATATTATTGAACATTGTTTTGATGGTGCATCTCCAGAGTTTTGTCCATCGAGCCAGTCGGCTTCAAAATTTCCTTGTCCTATCTTTTTAACTTGGGCTGTGTTCTATACTCTATAATTTACATGAAGTGTGATTGGAAAGTATTTTGTTATTTGTAATAAGTCGGCATTTCCGTTTCCTGCTGTTGTTTCTGCGAATGCATTACAGGGTACTCTAGTGCCATTATTCCAGTCACTAGGGAATATACATGTGAAGTGTTGTTCATTTTCT